TTTATTGGTGCATTATAGTTGTACATAATGATGAGATTTTGTTGTTACATATTTGTACATGTGCACAATATAATTTGGCCAATTATGACTTTTGTGATAGACTTTTTTTTTGCTTTCCTTTGTAGTTTTACTACCCATTTAAACATCTTTACACGATAGTTTCACACATTAGTAACTTTATATGATAAAGTCATACACCTGTATTTTCAAGTCTCTCAGTCTATGATAGTCTAAACTCAGACAGACCTAGACAAAAACTGTCTTCCAAACATTTTGTTGGAATTACCGTCGTGATTTCAGGGAACTTTTCCTACTGTACTGTAGAGGACATTTTGCATTCTAGACTTTAGCTGTTCAGGACCAGGCCAACCCAAGTGTAGTGTGTCAGTGATAAAATCTAGGTGGTTTTGGTATATGGGTTTTACTGTAAAATCTTTTCAGTTTTGCTTCATGTTTGAAAATGTCCATCATAATGTTGGAAAAATTCTATATCTTGAGTTTGAGCCAAAATGGAGGAGCCCCAATCTTCCCAGGTTGTCTTTCTTGTAATTTAAAAACCCCTGACATGACACAATAAAGGAGCCTAAGAAGACTTGGAAATGTGGAAAGAAGTTGGCCAACTGGGGACTTTGGGACTGAGGAGAAGCTTAATGGAAATTTCCTTTATTTTCCTCATCATCTCCCAAATCTCCCAACTAAAGAGTTGTAGAAGCTATAGATAGGCAGTTTGTGTCACCCAAAATTCATGTATTGAATCCTAACACCTAAGAGATGGGGCCTTTGTAAGGGAATTAAGTCATGAGATTGGAATCCTCATGAATTGGATCATTGCCCTTGAATAAAGAGACATGAGGTCTTGCTTTTCCCTACCTCTCCACCAAGTAGGACACAGCAAGAAGTTGGCCATCTGCAAGTCAGCAAGTGGGTCACCAGATACTGGACCTTCAGATACCTTGTTCTTGAATTCTTCCTTAGCCTCCAAAACTGTGAGAAATTGGTGTTGGTTGTTTAAGCCATTCAATCTATGATAGTCTAAGACAGACACAGACAAAAATAAAATGTTCTAAGAAAAGCTGTTCCCTGAGCCAAAGGACCATTTGGTGGCCTCTACCCTACATAATCCAAACACCAGCAAAACAACAACATCAAAACCCCTCATACTTCCTCACTTTTCTGAACCCATGGAGGAAAGAAATAGCACATTTTTCTCAAATTAAAAAAAAAAAAAACTCAACCATGAATTCTATATCTGGTAAAAATATTTAGCAATGAATAGGAAATAAAAATATTTTCAAACAAAAGATACCCAAGAGTATTTATGGGAACAAGCCTACCCTTAACATGTAATTAAAGGAAATACTCTAAGCAAACAATAAATAAAAGATTGGGAAGTGCAAACATCGCCAATATAATATTTAACTCATACATTAGGATGTTTTTAATGGGGGAGATGAGCATATTTCATCACTTTTTAGAATAGAGTATTAGATACTGATTGATATACATCATTTATAGTATACAATTAGGTGAGTTTTGATGAATGTTTACACCTCTGTGCTCAAAGCACACAGCATTTCTACCATCCTTAAAAGTTTCCTTGTGCCCCTTTGGGAAGTTTTTAATAAAGAGTTCTTCGGTTACCTTTTCTTCCTCTTCTTTCTCCTCTTCCTCTGGAATTCCAATGACATGTATACCAACATCTGGAACATCTGGATATCTATCCCCCCGGTCCTGAGGTCCTCTTCCTTTCTCTTCAGTTCTTATTCTTGCAGTTGTGTGAATCTGGCATCTCCATTACACTGTCTTCAGGTTCACTGATTCTTTGTTTTATCATCCCAAATTTTTGTTGAGCCCGTGTCATGATCTTTTTAAATTTCAGTTTCCATATTTTTCAGACCTAGATCTTCCTGGCTCTGTTTATTTGTTGTTGTTGGTGGTGGTGGTTTTGTTTTTCAGTTCTCATTTCTCCACTGAGAGTTCCTAGCTGTTCATTGAATGTGATATAATAATTTCCTTTAATTTTTTTTGAACATTTTTATAATAACTGCTTTAAAGATTTTTGCCCATGAAGTCCAACATCCGGAGTCACTCAGAGTCAGTTTCTATTGGCTGCCTTTTCCTGGGAGAATAGAGACCACTTTCATGTTTCTGTGCACGTCTAGGAATTTCTGGTTGAAAGTTGGGCCTTGTAGATAACCCACTCTGGCAACTCCAGATTCTGTTGCATTCTTTTGCGCTTTGTTGAGTTTTGACCTGGCAAGCAGTTAACTTGTCTGGACTCCCCTGCAAACTTTGTCACCTTGTGAGGCTCAGTAGCTGATTTCTCTGTTCCTATGGCTTCCCATTGCTGTGTTTCTCCTCTGGCCCTTTGGGGGTTTCCCCTGTTTCTGTCATTTGGTGGTTAGCCAAGGATTTCAACAGAGACGGAATTGCTCTCTTTGTGATTTTCTTGCTTCTAGGGGTTCCCTTTCCCTGTTTTCTAGCTATTTGGCTGATTTTGAGCACTCTCTCTAACATTTCAGGCCTGTAAGTTTCAATTTTCCACCACCTGATTTGTGCACAGTTGAGAAATTTACTCAGTTTTTAAAAACAAATTTAAAAAGGCAGTGACTGCACACAGCTCTGTTCAAGAGCAGATTTCTTTCTGGTTTCTGTCCACTTTTTCACCACGTCCCTTAGGGTCTCCTACCACATCTGCGTAGTTTAGTTTCTGGCCAAGGGTTTGGGCAGAGTTTATACTCACCGTTTTATACTCCTTCTGTGGTTTTTCTACTGCCAGTACTTTTCCTGTAGATTTCTAGCTACTTTTCCAGCCTTGAACTCTGATCTCTGGCACCTTCAGCTGGTAAAACTGTGGTTTTCCACTGCTATTTTTCACAGTTGTAGCTGTGAGGGTTGGGCATCACCCTCAAGCCAGGAAGACAGAAACTCAAAATTCTTACCTCTTCCTGTGGCAGTTTTTGAGATTAAATTCTTCTGCTTCTGTCTTTCAATAGTTGTGTGTGTGTTTTTTTAATTGTTTTTATCCTATTTTTTATCATTGTTATCTGTGGGAGGATTTCATGACCACTTTAATCATCTGCCATTGCTGGGAGTTCTACCCATTGGGTTTTAAATTTCAGTATCTTTTTCATTTGAAGTTCTATTTGGCTCCTTTCCGAATTAAATTTGCCTTGGATTTGTGAGAACCTTTATATTTCTTCACGTCCCTTTGAAAAGCATATTTGATCATCTTACAGATATGTATTCTATGGTGAGGACACCCGATCAGCACCGATGGTTCCACTCTCTGAAGTTCTTGGACATTTAGCATTGCTGTTCGGCATGTCTGCTGACTGTCTCATTCAACTTTTTGCAAGTAAGTTTTGAATTATGAACTAGGGATTAGAGATTCAATAAACATGGAAAAACCATGTGTCCTGATTTGGGAAGTTGAATCTGCAGAGAGAGTTCTGTTTCCTTTGACTTGGTGTCCCAAGAATACCATGGGCCATTTCTTATGTTTATTTCTAAGGCTGGGGTTCCTCAACCAGACAGGTAGTATAAATTTGTAGCCCAGATCTTCTTAAGGATAGATGATGATTATAAATCCTTGGAGAGTGACCTCTGTTTCTCAGGATACAGGGTCCATGGCAGCCATATCTCTGGGCCAATAAGTAGACTACTTTTCTGACCACAGCTTGGCTGTTTGAACCTGTGTCATGTGTCTGCTCATGGTGGAAAAGATAAAGCAGTCTATGGGGTCTCTGGGGTCTATTTTATTATTATTATTATTTTTAAATAAGGGCACTGATCCCCTTCATGAGGATAGAGCCCACTTCACCTAGTCACCTCCCAACCCCATCACAATGGTGACTGGGTTTCAACATGTGCGTGCATTTCGGGGCCACACAGACATTCAAATCATAATATCTGCTCCTCTGTTCTGACATAGCTCAAATGTTGCTTCTCTGGGAAGTTTTACTAACACCCCTAGGAAGATTATTTTTCCTCCTACCTGTGTTCCCAAAGCATCCTGTACATATTTCTTTTAGTGCTTTTCTTGTTGCTTTTAAATGATTTGTTCATGTCACATTCTCCCGCTAAGTTTTGAAGCCCCTCAATAGCATCCTTTTTTTTTTTTTTTTTTTTTTAGTTCATAATTCTCTGGTCTCTGTTACAGTCTCTCCCCCATAGGAGGGATTCAGGGACTCTCTTTTTTGCTTGGTTGTCAGGAAAGCAGATCTCTATCCTTTTAGAAAAACAAATGAGGTCAACTCATAGAGGTTATTGCGAAGAATCAGTCATTTCTTAAAGAATCTGGAGTGCCAAAATTTTTCTATCTCTACTCATTTCTACTCATTTTCTGTCTCTTTGATTTCTTTGTTCTTTCTGTAGGGTCACTATTTTACCGTAGGACCTTAGGAAACTAGTTCCTGAAGGGTAATATGGGCTGTGGAGTTTTTCTCTTTAGATCTGTATAAATAAGCTTCTTATGTTATTTATTTTCATACCCAGATTAAGACATCCCCAGACAGCCAGTTCCTTCCTGAACTCTGAAACTGGCACCATCTCTAAAGAGTTTTCCAGTTGCCTTTTTCTCCCTTGTGAAGAATGTAAGGTTTGGCTGTGTGATTCTTTTTAAGCTAATCATTTGTTTTTGGACTGATTAACATCGTAGCTATCCAAACTTGGGCAGAAACACCAAATTCAGAATCTCCGGAAGCAAAACAGTAAGAAGTTAATTCCTTCATGCTTTCAGATGAATGAGACGCCAATACATAATCACGGTTCCCTTGTTCTAACTCACACCCTTGACTATGCTGGCAAATCTTGCTTTTCTTTCTGGGTCCCAGGGAATTCATTGGGGGGGGGGGGGCGGGGAGGGGGAAGCATTTTCCTGTACTCCACCTGCTGGATGGAATGAATAAAAGCCTCAGTGAAAGATCTAAATATTTAGCAAATGTAACCTCAGCCTCCAGAGTTTCAAGTCTGGAATACATTTCACAGGCTCTCAGATCTGAACCCAGGCCAGACACATGCATGCTGATACTGATTATTTGTGTTCTTTGGCAGAGGCACTAGAGAAGCGTTATAATTCAGCTGTGCGTGGAGAGAGAACGATTATGCATATGTAACTTCCACTTGGTTATCTACAGATGTTGGAGAATGCAGTCCACCCAACTTTTCTGTTTCTGGCATCCGCCTCTCTGGTGGGTCTCAGGTCCTACTCTGTTCCTGCCCCCCTTGCTTTCTACACTGAGCCTCCCTGGCATATGCTCTCTCCTGTCACAGGCATTTGGCACATGCTGCTACTTCTATCTGGAATGTTCTTCACAGGCCTGCCCATGCCTCTTGACCTAGTCAGCTTTGCTCTTCCTTCAGATGTCAGGTTGCTTCTCAGGGAAGCTCTTGAGCAAGTTTAACCCTCTACCACAGGGTCCAGGATGCCTGATACTTCTCCTTTGTAAGCACCTGTTACCGTTGCAATTATACGTTTCTCTGTGTGATCTTTTATAAAAACTGCTTCCTGAAGTGTAGTGTAGGTATGTGTGCCAGCTTATCGATATGTGGATATTTGTTTTATTATGAGTTATGTGTTTATTTTAATGTGCATTTTTTTAAAAAAAGTCTACATAGTACTGGTAGTAATGAACAACATTTTGTGAACATTTTAGGCCACCTTATGATGGGTCTAAAGTAGATAAAACTATGAATCCACCTATGCAAACCATGTGAATCAGGAGCACTGTGGTCCGGAAACAGGCATATGTGGCAAACATTTTGGAAACAGAATGAAAATGACTGAAATTTGGGAAAGAATGCATTCGTCAGTATGTTTCCCCTCACAAAAATGTAAGCTCCAGAGGTGATTTTTGTTCTTGTGTGTGTGTGTGTGTGTGTGTACCATTGTACCCACCAGACTTGATGCACATTTGGGCCTTAGTAAATATTATCCACAGAGGAGACAGGTTGTAACTTTGTAGACCTAAACCAGTCACCTTCAGATGCCCAGAGACTCTGTAGAGTCACAGAGCTGTAGGGATCTTTACCATTACCTTACTCAAAATAGTATCAACAGCATCCTAGAAGGGTGCTGTCACAGACTGGAGTCCCTGAGAAGCAGACTCTGAGAGGGAGATCAGTGGCAGGGAGTTTATAGAGAGTGCTCTTAGAACTCCTGTGGAAGGGAAGGAAGCAGGAGTGGGCAGAGGGAGAAATCAAGGCCGTCTCAGTGTGGGCTTAAGTGGGTTCCATGAGAAGTTCTAAACCTGGAATGACTTTTAGAGCTGCCCAAAGAATTATACACCCTTGTAGGCCACTTCAAGGAGAGGACTACCTTGGGGACAGCAGCTCTCTTCATCAGGGCCATCCCTGCAGGTGTTATAGGCTAGGGTCTGCCTGTAGGTAGGGCATATCAGAAGGGAGATAGGGTGACACGTCACTGGATTTGCCATAGACTATGAAAATCTCCAGGAGTAGCAGGTGTCAGTCATTGGCTGTGGATATACCTTCTGTGATGGGAATGGCTTTGCTATTTTAATTTTTTTCCCTTTTATTAAACCCAAATCACTTTCTTGTTAAGTCCCAAATACTAAACTATAACAGAGCAAGAAAAGCAAAAGGTACTCAGAATATCTGAAGAGAACTTTTATCTTTATCTCTCTTAACTAATGTAATCCTCCACTTAACTTTTTTTTTTAATTTATAAAACGTCACATACCATGCAGCATCTAGAATCATATACAATGGCCTAGATGAGCACTGACCAGCTCAGATTACTGTAGAAAAATTACTGTAATCTGGACCTCATTAACTTGGGATCAACTAAGATTCTTATATCTTCTTCATGTGGATTGTATGGAGTAATATCTCTTTTTTTTGTAATATCTCTTTAAATACAGACTCATGAAATCATTCTTTCCTAAGACTCATTAAATGAAGAGTCTTAAAAGATCATTTTTAGCCCTTCTTATTTTATAATATGTATGATTATACTTATTATAGAGACAATACCAAATGTTTACTGAATCCTTGTCATATGCCAGAGGTTGTGTTTCACAGTTCTTGCATGTCTCCTTCTTATTAGATCCTCCTGATGACACTGTGAGGTTCATACTGTTTGTATTTACTCAGGAGGAGATGGAGGCACAGACAGAGTAAGTAGCTTGCCCAAAGTTCTGATGTCAGTAAATGGAGAACTGGGATTCCCACCCTCCAGTCTGGCTTCAAAACTGCCTTCTTCTGTACATGTATGTTATGTTGGTTTAAGTTGATTTAAACTAATGAATGAATAGCCATATGTAAAGACAGTGCTATGAACATACAAGGTACTCATCCAAGTGGCTCAGAGGGCTTAGAGAGACTGTTATATTCTTTAAAAGGAATAAAGAAAATAAAAGAAAGAAAGAAAAGAAAAAACACAACCCTAACACTTTCATTTAGGTATTTTCTCTTCTACTATGATAAACATTTTGTTTTTCTCTTGAGTGAGGCGATAGACTTTGAACCCAGGACCTCATGTGTGCTAGGCATGTGCTCTACCACTGAGCTGCATTCTCTGCCCTTTTTATTTTTATTTTTTTTTATTTTTAGAAAGGGTCTTGGTAAGTTGCTCAGTCTGGACTTGAACTTGTGATTCTCCTGCTTCAGCCTACTGAATCTTTGGTTTACAGATGTGAGCTGTCATACCTGACTTATGATAAGATTTTTAAGAGAAAGGACCACAGCTGGATTCAATCCCCAGTACCAAAAAATGAACAAACAAGTAAAAACCAAGATAAAGGATCACAGTTTCCATTTTAAATACTGTGTGTAGTAAATTATGTGAGGCATGGTTATGCCAGTTAGCTGTCTATTGCTTTCTTTCCTCATCGACTCTTCTTCGTCTTGTTTTGAGATACTGGAACTTGACCCTTTCAACATTTCTTCTATACCAGCAGATGCAATGCAAGATTTGTCAATAGAGGGAGCTGGCGGGACGCTGTAAGAAGAAGGGGCTTTTCTTTGGGGTTCTTGTGATTTCCTCCTGTTCCTAGGGCACAAGCCCAGTGGGTACTTTCCTGTGGGAGACCTAGTGGAGCACACCTCTGTCGATTTTGCCAGAACCCCTGGAAGTCACACCTAGAAACTTTCACCATCACTCTGGGGGAGAACTCCCTGAAGCACCTTAGGGAAATTCTTCGCCATCCCGTGGGTAACAGACACAGCTTTACTAAATCTGCATCTCACCCTCTTTCAAGTTTGTCCCCTCAAGTTTGTCTCTCCTCAGCCTTGCAGATGGTAGCTGCTCCCTGCATCTGCTGTTCCACTTTTTTTTTTTTTTGAGATCTCCTTATCCCTCTTAGTAGTGAATCCCCTTTACAAGCCATTAAAATTTCCCTGTTCAAATCATTGTTGTGGATACTATCTCCTGCATGAATTTTGACTAATAGAGTGGTAGACAATGAATGATGAATGAATGGATGTTTGAGTGAGGAATTGAAGCAAAATGCTTCATTTTTCAATTGATTGCCGCCCTTTGTTTTGAAGCACTGGACTAGGTGGCCTCTGTCCTATCAAATTCTTCCCAGATGTTCAAGATATTTGAGAGTTGCATGTTTTCAAGCGATCTTCAAGCCCATCTCTCTTCTTCACCTCACTTAAATTACAGGACACATTGTAGTACACCAAAGAGATAGAAGCAAATTTCCCTCCATACACCCATCCACGATTGCAGCTTTGTACCAGAAATAACCTGGCCAGTCGTAGAGTCTGCACTGTGTCCTGGGGTCAGCAGCACCATGGCTAATGCAGGTGCTCTATTTTGAGAACACCATAGATTTTTCTGTTCATTTCCACAGGAAATTACTAAACCCTTAACATAGTTGATATTTCCAGGCTCTGAAGGGTCCTTTTTTTCCAGCCCACACAAAAGAGGTTAGTTTACAGTAACATTCCTATGACCTGTTCTGGAGGATAAAGACTTCTAGCCAAGGTCTATCAGCAAGACAAACTAACATCTTACTCTATGTATCTCCGGGTCAGTCTAAAATACATCTTTTTTTCCCCTACGACAGGAAAACATGAAATGTGAAACTTTCAATGAGATATATTTCTGTGATGATTTGCGCAAATTGCCCATCTACATCTACATCCCTAAACACTTCGGCCAAGGGAACCAAATCCTTAAATTGAATGCAGTTCCAAACAAGAGTGCCCAACCCTTCATTAAGGCCACAGAAAAGCACATCAAGGACAGGGTGAGGTTTTGCTTGTTTACGTAATAAAACAGACACCAATGTTTAGCTGCCAAATGTGTAAATTTAGCCTGTGTGACAGTGAGAACTAAGAGGGAAGGAAGCAGTTTGGGAGATACCTCCTCCCCACATCACAAACCCTCTCAGACCCATCAGAAGACCCCAAAACTGGGCCTACAATATGTGCATTTTATACAGCAAACCTACCCTCTGGCTTCAAGCTGTGTGTGACCTCGTTTCTCCTTTTAATTTTATAACTAGGGTGGAAAGCTAGCGGTGTAGTATGTCATGGTCAATATATCAACTGCAAAGTAAGTCCAATGTTGCAGAAAGACTCCAAGAGTCATTTAGTACTTTTCCCCTGACACCAGAGATAACGTTGGAGAAATCTTGGGGTCTGGAGTACCTGATGTCAAAGCCCCATGCCTCTGATTCTCTGACTGGGTTTGGGAGTAAATTTTATGCACAGTGACAAAGGGAGTTTCTTTCTGGTGGTGGAGGGCGTTTTAGGAGTGGACGAGGAAGGTGGGGGTGCCGCTTCTACTCGCCATTATTTCATTTTAACAGTTGTTAGACACGTCATCCTACTACTTCTGAAATGGGAAACCTACAGATCCCCAGGCTTGGTTGGGCTTAAATATCCCTACAGTATCACTATTACATATATATATATATATATATATATATATATATATATATATATATTTTTTTTTTTTTTGGATAATTTGTGAAACTACAGTTGAAGTCACATTTTTGCTTGATGTGCCGCTGTTATCCTACTAGCAATATAACAACTACCCACTAGGGCTTAGGACTTGAGATTGCCCACCCTTCCTGCCCCATGACAAGCAGACCCTCAACCCCATAAACATGAAAAGTGATAACTTCATTCGTAGTTTTCTCTTTGCCGTCAAGTTCATCCCCACGAGGCCCCTTCTCAGCCATCCTACCCCCTCAAACATCCAAGGAACAGAAGTACTTTTTAAAAGTCGGTTCAGCAAAAAACAGGAATTTAAAAGCTTCCTTCCAACAGCAGTGGCGTTTATCTGAGGACTTAGAGTGGTATTCCATTTTTCCTAGAGGTAGGTGAGAGGCCAGAGGGTAATTTCCAGAAAGTGCTGGTGGCTGGGGAGGATGCTCAGAGGTCCTAGGTTTATGGCCTTTTCCTGGCTCAGTCTTTTTATACCTTTCTTAGAAATGGTTATGATTCCTGCTTCATCTCTCCTGGGGGGGGCAGGAAGGGTGAATGAAGATCGTGGGAGTTAGGGAGGGGATGACCTCAAGACCCAAAGTGGTGAGCATTCATTCCAAAGGAAAAGGGAGTGGGCCAGAGTGTCCAGGGCTTCCAAGAGCAGAAATCTGCTAGACCAGCACTGGCGGCTGTGGGTGGGTGCCGTGGAATCTGCATGGTCGCATTCATTTTGCCTGATTAGTGGCAAACCAGGCTAAGACAACCGCTGAGCTTCAGAACAGATGGTGCCTGGGTGACAGGATGTCCCTTGTCTTATTTATTCAAGAACAAATCATGCCATTGAAAACACTAAAGTCAGACTGGGGGTGTAAATCAGAGGTAAAGCTCTTGTCCAGCTAGCGCTGGCTTCCATTCCCGGTACTGGGGTGGGTGTGCAGTGAGAACACTGAAGTCAACACAGGATCCTAATTGGGTCTCTCCATCTTTGGGAAGGAGGACAATTGCTTTTTTTTCAAACTGTGGTTGTGACCCAATAATGTTGGGACCTAATTTAACTATTGGATCAGTATTTTTAGTGGAATATCATAGAAAGGTCAAAAGTGTGTCTCATACTGTTTTATGAATTTTTCTCGTTTCAACTGTGTATGTATAAGGATATGTATGTGGCTGGGTTAGAATGGAACATGTAATTCTTTTTGTGAGCAAACTCCAAAAAATAGAAAAAAATTACTGCTCAAGGCAACTTTAAAAGAAAGATATGTAATTACTATAGTGGGCACACACGGCCCAGGTATTTTTGTACAGGTGTGCATGTGGGTGTGTGTGTGTGTATAATCTAATTAGCCATGTTGTGCTAGACCATGTTGTGTCTCCAAGAACAAGAGATCATGAGATTTGGAGGTTCAAATAAGGAAACATCCTTACTTAACGATAAGTTTGAAAAGCTGGTGGGCTTTTAGGATGAAGATATGCAGCTTTTTTTGACATTGCTCTAAAGTTGTTCTTTTTTTTTTTTCTTTTTTCAGTTTACCATATCTTTGCCTAAGCAGAAGCCTGTTAGCCCAGTGATAGTACCACAATTTCACAAGGTTTATATTACGAAGCAAAAGATTTAACTGAGTTATTAGTGGAGCCTGGCTCCTGAGGGGACACATTTCCTGAATATCTTTCCCTAGCAAAAGCCTTCTGTTTCTAAACAAAACAAAACAAAACAAAAAATGCTTCTGCTACAGCTTTTCCTGTCAGCCATTAAAGTCTCATATCTGGGAACAAGATAAGTAGAAAACAGTGTCCACATCCTAGGCTTGCCAAGAGAAGTCTTTTGATAGAAAAGAAACCATGACGTTCAGACACTCAGAGACGTAATCACCAGTTAATGGAACATTTATTGTTACTTGTAAGGCATAACTGTAATACCGAAAAAAGAGAGAGAGACAGAGAGTGATGTGAAATGACAGGTGGTGTCCTCATTGACCTGCTCTGCAGCCGTGGGCCTGGCTGTTTTAGGCAGCACACTCTGCCAGGCTAAGGACCTGGGCTCTGTTGCCTCCAGCACAAAGTAAGGGCCTCCTCTGCAGTGGCAGCTGGTACACCCATCTGGTTTTTGTATATCCACCCTGTTGGCTACTGGAGGAGATGAGAGCCACCTCCACCCACACCTCACTGCCAACCTGCTGAAGCCTCTGTGGTCCTGACAATAGAGTGTCAGACCCTTTGTGACAGTCATTCT